AAAAAAAGCCAGATATCCCCTCATGAGTACAACAGAAAGGCTTACAACTCTTGCCAAGGGTCTAGCAAGTGACTGCTTTTCCCTGGCATGGAAAAGAGTTCAGAAGCCACAGTAGCACTTGGGACCACTGGGAGAGGATTCCCTCTGCCCTGCTAGCAGGAGGGGGTACTTCAAACTTCAGGGAAACCTCATGGGGGGAGGCAGACTTGCCCCTTTAAGTCACAAGCCCTGTGGAGTTTCCCTCAGGTTTTGCCCCTTCCCAAGGGCTATTTGCTCAGGTTAAGCTGCAAAACTAAGGGGACCATTGCAGCTTCCTTAAAACCCTGCTGTTCCTGTGTAGAAAGCGGGAAGAACTGGGGGGGGGGGGGATTGAGGGGCATCCCCTCAAACCTCCTTGTTTATAGGTTCTTGGGTGGCTTTAGCGGGCAAGTTCTTTGTGCTCTCCACAGAAGCAGCCCAGGGACACATGACCACACCCCAAAAACCTTGAGGATTCTGCTGCAAAGCAGGCTTTCCACACACACACCACCTCCAAAAAAAAAAAAAAAAAGGGAAAAAGGTTAAAAATAACTAGCTGTGGGATACAAAGCTGCAATTTGGCAGCTACACTGAGACTATTCAGACAAGTGCCCACACCAGATTGCAACTTGCGTACTGCTAGCTATTTCTTTGAGACTGTTTTAAAGGTCGAGGATGCAGGAAAACAGCAGCAACTTTGGGATTTGTGGGCCTGCGTTGCCCTCACTTAAAGGTCAAGCTGTGGCCAGTGCTAAATGGCTTGCTGTGGCTCAGGGACCTCTTGCTCCTCCTGCAGGGTCACCTTGCATTCTGCAGGAGAACAGGGGAAGGGAGAGGGGACAAACAAGAGGGAAGCAATCCCTACTGTGTCAGATCATTGCTTAGGTCCAGAGGAAATTTTACCCCAGTTCTTGGTTTAGATTTCCTAGGAATTTAACATGTAGCGTGAGCCCTGCCTTTCCACCTGTTCCAAATGGCTTTTAACTGGTGTGTTTTATGAGCTGTTTGCTGTTTTACTTGAGTTTTACTATGGAGGAAGTTATTTAAAATGTTTATTATAGTATTATGGCATTTGTATTTTTGTGCTTGTCAGAGGGGCCCTTGAGCAATGGACTCAGCTTAGGGCTGAAGATGCTCTCATGACTCCTCATGCTGAACTCCACTCTCTATCATATGGTGGCTTCAAAGACTCAGGAGGATGGGAAGAACCCAGCTCCTGAACTGCCCTGCTGCAGGCTTTCATGCTGGAAGGAAGAGTCCTGGAACTTCCATCCCCTTCCATCCCGTCCGCCTTCATCCATGGACAACTGCTTCCCAAACCGGTATGCACCATGGGAGTACCTCCTTCTCACTGTGTGTGTGTGTGTGCACACACGTGTGTCAGAGAGAGAGAGAGAGAGAGAGAGAGAGAGCGCACGCGCGAGAGAGAGAGCGCACCTTTATCCTTTCACTATTTTCCAATTGAAAAATCACCTCCCCACTGCTATTTTCACCTCTGCAGGCACTTTTGTGGGCAAATCGGGGGGCGGGGGGGGGCAGGCTTGAGTGGGAAAATGTTGCAGGGGAATCATCAAATACCCTTCTTCACATAGAGGAATGTTTTGTTCAAACTGATGACCCTGTGGTTACCATTCCAAAAATGGAAATGAACTGGTCACGTGGCAACTATTATAATCTTATTTTGGTTTTAGTTGACTCCAGACCAATGTTGGAGCAACACAGCAGAAGAACTGTGGGGAATGAAAACCACTGGTCCGTCTAGCTTGGCATTACAACAGCTCACCAGGGTATCAGAGTCTTTGCCAACCCTATCTAGAGATGCCAGGATTGAACCTGTTCTCTACCGCTAATCTTTGCTCCTTCTCCAGATCCCTACTTGGCAGTGAGTCTTGTCCCTGGTCTCTTCTTAAAGCACTACCACCACCCCTGTGTGGCCCCAGTGGAGCTATCCATGGTCCTGAATGTTTGCTGCAGAATTTGTAATAATGCCAGGCCTACCCAGAACACAGCTCCTAGCCTGAGATGGGATCTCTAAAGTTGGGGCAAACATGGGTCGATTGCCAATCCAAACAGAGGAAGGATGGACTTGTTAGCTCCTGTGATGTGGCCAGCACACTGGACCATGGCCCGGTCACTGGGCCGCCCCCAGCTGGTTGTGCTCACCGGTTTGGCACAGGAGACACATGTTTCTGTGATCCAGATTTGGCATTTCCACCAGGACAGCCCCCCCTGCTCTAATTACATCTTTAGATTGTCTTTCCCTTGCTACTTCCTGTTCCCAATTGCAGCTGTGAAATATGCTAATCCACTGCTTACACCACAAAACAAGGGAGCTAATAATAACCTGCAACTTTTCAAAGCACAAAAAGGGGTAGATGTCGGCGGCTCACCCTTCCTAGTGCAGCTGCCTTCCCACGCTAGTTGACTCCTTGTGCTGCATGACAACTGGCTGGTCCTGGGCCTGTTTCTTTTGCATTCTTTGTGGGTGCCCCTCCAAGAAATCCTTGAATGCTCCATGAAAAGGGCAAATGCCCACTCTTTATCTCAAGAAACATTGATCAAGCACGACGACACTGTCTCTTTGGGCTGATTAATGTCAAAGATTCCAAATGTTTAAAACTTACATAGGACTCTTACACAGAGCACAGAGATGCAGCTGGTACAATTTTGAATGCATTCCACACTCCTTTTCTATAGAGGGGTTTCCTGCCCCTTTTCATATCCATGATGTCAGATAAGCAAAGCTGCAATATTCCGTCTTTTGCAAATGGGACGTCAGACCTGAGGAGGAAGCCAGCTGACTTGTCCCATGTGTGATTTATTTATATCTTTGTCACATATTAGTTAAACCTCAAGTCATTCTCATGGGTCCTCTGCCTCCTCCCATCACTTAAAAGAAAATCTGCTGAGGTTCTCACAGCTACATGTTTATAGTGTCATTCGTGCAAATAAGCATGAATTGTATTTTCTCTTATTTCTCATCCTGGTAATGATTTGCAAAGTATAATAAAATGCTGCTACTGCAAAGCACACCTTTCAAAGTCATAGATGTCAGTGCATTTGCTGCAGCCAAATAAAGATAAGGATTCAACAGTCTCCTGTAATGAATGGTAATCACAATGTCCAATTCTTTTTTGAACATGGAAAGCAGAGAATTGCACCCTTCTTCAAGACAGTACAGTTCACAGCAAGGGCAGCTTTTTTTTTCAGCCCAAAGTCCAGTCTTTACATGTTCTCATCAGTTACATTCCAGTGGTGGGTGCAGCCAAAAACAAAATATATCAGCATATTTTAATTTAAAGGTCTCACTGCCAGAACTAAGCAGCAGGAGAGATATCTCAAGTCTTCAGAATGAGCAAAATGTGCACAAATGCTGGGAAACCATCAATTTATTGGTGGTTGGGGCAAGGCCTGTAGAGGAACCCCCAAGGGCTTGAGGTTCTGCACACCAGTCTATGCTGCCAGGTCTGTCGTGGCTGCAGGTCAAGTGGGCATCAGATTAGCACAATTTGAACAGACATCCCCTTCTATTGACATTGCACTTCCTATCTATTCCTACAGAGAAATGAATCATGCAAGCCCATATGTGTGAAACAACAACAAAGAACACACATTTCCATAAAGATGTTCTTGCTATGCAAGTCCCCATGGATGCCATGATTATGCTTGGGTTCTTTGCAGGAATATTTAGGAGCTTGAAAGTTCTCTAGGTACATAGTTTTTATTCTGTGTGAAGTATAACAAGTCAGCAGATGGAGATGGCTCTGCAGAACTTTTATTTTAAATACAGCCTTCGTATTAAAGAACCAGAGCCATTTACACATCTGCCTTTGGAAAGCATGCACACTGTACTCTGTGATGGCTGCTGGCACCCACTTTAGTGAGGAAACATGGATGTACAAAGAATGATGGGCTCAACAGTATCCAGAGTCTTTGCAATCAAGTTGCCGACTTGCCTCCAAATGCTTCAATATTTGCAGTCACAACTTCCTGTGATTTTTTATTTTGCCAGCACCATACATTGTTTGAAACACCAAGAACACCAGATTAAAACTTGGTGTCGCCATTCAAAGGAATTCCACAGGTTCTTTGTGTCCTTGACTTGTTCAACTCTTTTCCCCTCTCTACAGATTGGGAATTTGCACACCCTGTTTTCAGTACCTGAGAGCAAAGTGAAAAAGCAATTAAAGGGAACCAGAGCAGGAGACAGGAAGAGGAAAATCTGAAACATGTTCAGTAAAACCAAAATCTGCCAGTTTTTGACTCCCTTGTGAACCCAGCTGCTAAAAGTGGCAGCTTTTGTCCATGGTCACACAACCTTTCAACTTCCAAGTAAGAAGCTGCCAAAGACTGAAAAATAGGAAGAGGGGTGGGAAACAGCAGTCATGAGCCTGGAAACTGTGTAAACTGACCTTGGTCTTTGTTATTGTATTTAGGATTCAAGCTTAGGCATGCTTACACAGGGGGAAAAAGTCCTATGACTCCCAGCATACCCCCGGCAGCATGGTAGGTGGAGAATGCTGAGAGCTGTAGGACTTTGTTCTGCCTAAACACACATAGACTCACAGCCTTGGAGGCTCACAAAGACAGTCCTGCAATAAATTAGATGCATTTTATCTGACAGGAGTCATACAGTGCAAATTCATTGTACACAGATTAGGCCAAGCAGATGATTTCTCTGTTCATCAACAGTGTGTGCTGTCTGTCTCTCCTGAATTTGTCTAGCAAATTATCTTTGCAGCAATGTAAAAAAAGGGAAAAGAAAGATAAGATATAGCTTTTGCTGCCAGGCTGTATGATTTTTATGTAGATTACTGATCCCTGGCAGCTGATTTATAAACTCAAACCTAGCCATGTAAGGCCAAGCTCTTGAGTTTGAACTCATTATTGTCTGGCATTGCCACTCAAAACCAGAAGCAGCTTCAGTGAGATACCAGTTCCCACTGATCTTCCAAAGTCAATGGAAACCATTTTCTGCTTACCTTCCACAGGTGAGGTCTTCAACCTCTTGCAAATGTTATGCACTCCCCCATAGGTGTCATTGATCCGGCTCACTGCTTCTGCACTGCGAAGTTCCATAAGGTTCCGTAGCTCCATAACGGAACAACCAAATTCCCCCTCATGGCTGCCCTCAACAACAGAGTTCCCTGGATGGTGATCTGCAGAGTTGTTCGTCATCTTGACAAAAATGAAGTGGGTCAGTGAGATATGCTGGGTGCTCCTGTGTTACTTTGTGGCTTCTCTCCTCTGTGAAGTCCGAGCAGGTGATGCAAACTTTAGATCTCCACACAGAAGTGGCACCCACGTCCTACCAACTATAGAGCACCCAAAACAAGCTCTCTGGGGAGAAAAGAGGATCTTGCATAAGATGGCAGGTCTAGAGCAGGAGGTGATGAGGATGGAGAACCAGCACTTCCTTCTGAAACTCCCCAGGTGAAGCTGCTGAAGCTAGCCAAGCCCGACTTCTTCCAAGGAAGGTGTAAACAGGATGTGCATGTTACTGTGGAAGCAACCTTAGTAACTACCAGCCGGCATCTCCCAGAGAAAGAGATGGGTTCCTTGGATACTGCCTTCAACGAAACTGCAAGACAAGGATTTGAAACAAAAATTATAGTTAATAAGAGGCCCAAGAGACGGGCTAATATGCACATGGGTACAACAGATGCAGTCACGGCAGCAAGAGTACTGAGTGTGGAAATGAAGTTGCTGGAAGGAAGCTGCTGGGCTTTTTGGCTGTTCCATGGACTTCTGAAATCAAGGGTGTACAACTCTTTCAGCTGCGAGGGCCACGTGTGATGCTGGCTTGGAGGGCCATGGTTTGCTGTTGTGCTCACCCCTGCATATACACAAATGTACATATATAAGTGATAAATCACACACAAGCATGCTCATGGGATCCCGAAGTGGTAGGATTTGCATGATGAACTGAGGGGTCAGCTTTGGAAGTGGCATGGAATTCAGAGTGGAGGGAATTAGGCGCTGTGGATGTGTTGCTGTAATCAATTTTATTTTATTAGAGGTTTTTATTAGGAATCTCAATCTTCCTTATGAGCTTAGATTTGGGATAGAGGACCAGGGAATTATCTCTGACTTTGGGCTGCTCTTCAGAAATACCCGGAGCATCCTGGAAGTTCAGCACTGAAATTTAACTTGCCTTCCCACACAAAGCAATACCTTTTTAAAAAATATGTATGCATAATTATAATCAACACTAATTTTAAAAGCATCACCACCTCTGCTGATTCAGAGGTGCCATGAGCAACCAAAATGTTTTGACCCCAAATTATTAAAAGAAAACACAGCCCTTAACATGCCACACTCAGTGTAAATAGATCATAAACTCTGGCCCTGGAGAGGAGAACACATTCAAAGCTATGTAGTTTTATTTGCTAAAATAAGGGGAAAGTGTGGTAGGAAATTGCTTCCTAGCATTTTCCACCTTTGAGGCTTGGGGCATTAAAGGGTCAGCATCAACATTCTCGACCTTTAAAGAAAAAAATGAGCACATCTTTAAAAACAGTGGCAGAAACTTAGGGCAACTGTCCTAGTTACACTAGTGATGCCATGCAAAGATTCCTAATAAAAATCCTGCACTGCCACTGAAAACTGCTTTGGAAGGTTGCGTCTGAGCCTAAGTTAATCCTCTCTGCTTCCAAGTGAATGGGATGGGGAAAGGAGGGTACAGCCTCCCTTCACCCTTGAAACCAAGGGTGGAAGGTGGAAACTGTGGCACTTTATGTTGGCTGAGCATTTGGAATGTCACACAGGAAAGGGGAGCATCACATGCACTATCCAGAATCAGACCAGAATTGTGTTTGCCTGGGAAGAGGTAGGGGACTCTACTGATCCCTAATGTTTTCCTCCAAGGCTAGAGTTCTAAAGGTAGATGCCCTGTCCTGCCACCTGGTTCACACATAACACTAAACCATGGTGTGGGTTTCTTGAAATCAGGCTTCTTGACATACCTGAACCCACCTTTATAAACAAATCATGGTTTCTTAATCAGCCGAGAACCATACATAGTATAAAAGGTCTCACTGTTTTAAAACATGGCTTGTTATATGTTTGCTTCCAGAACTAAGGCTTATCCTTGGCTTGTTGGCACTGTTGTCCACCTAAGAACAGTGGTACCTAGCAAGGACAGCCTGAAAATGAAACCCCAGTGAAGGCTGGCAAAACAGGCAGGAGAAAAACATACTAGAAACAAAAACCCTGCAGTTTGTTCACTTCTTTTCTCCCCACTGCCTCCCACTCACGCTTGTTCTTTGCCTTGATGAATTCCAGGGTTAAACAAACCTTGTGTCATATTCCTACTAATGGTGGGCTGTGTTATACAAACTGGGTCACATACAATTTCACATCTGACCCATAGGTAGCAATGGTCTTGCAATATCACAGACTTGATGTTCACAACCCAGCCAATCCCACTGATCAGGACTGGCAGCTCTTTCACTTTTTCCTTGACAGGTCCCTATCCCACCTTTCCATAAACCAGAGAAGGGCAACTTATGGCTCCCCAGATATTTTCCCCTAGCAACATAGCCATTGGTGAGCAATGATGGAAGTTTTAGGCCAAAACTATCTGACATTTCCTGATTGATAAGCACATTCCAGTCACTATTTTGTAGATCTATTTGTTTTTATTGTACTTTGTGTTGTAATTCATTGTTACACCACTCCAATCTCACTCAATGTGAGGCAGTTTATAAATTTTGCAATAAACAATGTGGAAGACCACTAGTTTTTTTGCAATAAATAATGTGGAAGACCACTCATTCTTGCTACAAACTGTCTCCCAGTATCAAGTTTGTCTTTGTTCATAGTTGCAGATCTTTTGGTTATATATAATCCACAGCACAGACTTTTCCTGGATAAACAGACAACATAATGGCCATGATGTTTAGAAAGAAGTCAAAAACCATGTTTAAATAAAGGACCAAATCACCACTTCCACAGCCACCTGAGTTGAAGAAAGGATACTGTTATCTCATAAGAGCCAGAGTCTCCTATTCCGTTTTTTTGAACTAGACACAGGGACAGAACACAAGCTAATAAGCAGCTTCCACTACACACCAGAGTGCTCCGTACTGTCAAATGACAATCTGGCTAAAGGAAACTGCCAGATGCAGAAGGATAGAAAAAGGAAAACTGTAACAGATGGATGTTGGAGGAACTGAGGGGAGGGTAAGGAAATGCTCAAAGGACAAACTGTTATGGTCCCTATCCACATCCTCTTCAGCCTTGATAACAACAGGGCACATTGTACTGCCACTCATCACCCAGCATCCCCAGCTGAGTGAAGGTTCAATATGAGTAAAATTCCTGAGTGAAGAGATAGGAGGCCATCTGGCAGTGCCATTCACACCAAAAAGCGGGTTTCCATGTTTCTAGCCCACCAGCACAGGGTTTGTGCGCAGTACTCTATGCCCAGGCTCTTTCCCCACTATAGGACTAGTTGTACATTACACACAAAAGCATATAACGAAGGACCAAATGAGGAATGAGGATGGAGATGCATGGAAATTGGGTATGCCTAAGCACATATCTATTCTTTATACTTTTGCAGGTGGCAACTGAATCCTGATCAGGACAGTTGTGCTAGGAAGAGAGGTTTAAAGCCCTCTTCCCCCATGCCCTATTTCCCAGTGTGGCACCTCCTACAGCTTCATTTGCCCATTAGGAAAAATGCATATGCATAAATATGCTTTTCTTAATGTGAAAAAATAGCAGCATGGGAAGGGGCAACTTTCATCAGCAAAATATCATGTGGAACAAGGATTACACTGTGTCACAGCCCCAGTCTAGATTGCACCCTGTCTGCCTATGCAGTCCATGAAGTGTTATTTACAAAGATTTAAAAAGGGCAGAGATATATTCATTACCCTCTGCTATCATGTTTAGCTTGGCCCTGAACCACAGCACCATCTTAAAGTGGTAAAATAATGATACATTTTCTATTATTGTTCTTAGGATGTTATTTACATCCAGTCCTTCAATATTTCTTGTTTCAGAGAGACTTAGCACTTTCACTATTTGCCTTGCCTTTACTCCAAATCCTACTCAAGTGACTTCCCCCTTCCAATGAGGTTCCCAAAGAGTAGGGCACTTAATTTTGTACATGTATATTCAGCCCCCTTTGGCACAGTGGGTTAGGGTTAGGGTTAAACCGCTGGTGCCGCTGTGGGTTAAACCGCTGAGCCGCTGGGCTGGTTGATCAAAAGGTCGACAGTTCGAATCTGCAGACGGGGTGAGCTCCCAAACTCTTTCCCAGCTCCTGCCAACCTTGCAGTTCAAAAGCATACAAATGCAAGTAGATAAAAAGGTACTACTTCAGTGGGCAGGTAACAGCGTTCTGTGCACTTCGGTGTTTAGTCATGCTGGCCACATGTCCATGGAAGCTATCTGCGGACAAACGCTGGCTCCCTCGGCTAGGAAATGGAGATGAACACTGCCCCAAGAGTCAGACATGACTGGACTTTAATGTCATGGGGAAACCTTTACCTTTTTTAGTTGTACAGGGCAGTGTGATTAAGTGATTCATGTTAGTTTAGGACTAGAGATGTCTAAATTCAAATCCTTATTTAATCAAGATACTTACAGGGTGATTTTGGGTTAGTCACTGTGAGGGTTGTCCTAAATTTGTGGGGAGAGATAGAGCTAAGTATGTATGCCCTACCTTGAACTCCCTGGCAGCAGAATGGGAGAAAATAAGTGATGTAATTCATCTTTCAATCTGAACAAGATTCAAAGTAGGCTAAAATTGTTCACTCACATTGCCAATTTCACATTTAGATTCAACCCTCCACCATCCTCATGCATCAGCCAACAAGACATTGATCTCACATATGCTTACCTGAAAAAGGTAGCAACTGAGGCCCCAATTTAAATACAAAACTGATTGTGCAGGATGTCACACAGGTAAGCAATTTTAAGCAGCCAGTCATCTTAAGTTGGGCTTCAGCTAGTGTTTAGGAGGGAGAGAGACTAAAGAAAATTCCCCATGATAAGGCCTGAATATGAGGCGATTTGGCCTGGGTAACCAAGATTTTAAAAAGATACCAAGACTTTTGTGTTTGCATCTTGAAACTGGAGAGAAGGAAGATGAAAATAGCAGCAGCAGCCATCTTCACTGCCTAAGAATAATAATAAAGCCCACTAAGAGAAGAATTGCTGTCCTTTTCTCTGCCAGGGCTCTTCTGTAAATACTTCAAGCTGCTTGATAGGTGTACTTTCAACTAATGTAACTTCACACACACAAGAATGACAATGCTGTGATAGAGGAAGATTCATTTGTTGAATCTCTGCCTGATGCCCCATTACAAACTCACAGGAATTGAAGAAAGAGCATGCAATGTGGCTAAATAGCCACTGCCTTTATGCCCACAGATATAACTGCTATTTTAGAAGTTTTCATGACAAACGCAGTAACCAGAAAGTGCAAACAGAGAAAAACTGCTACAGCAATGGAGAATGCAGCAGACAGCTTGAAATAGTGTTTCTGAGATATGTCAACTCAATAACGCAGTTTATCACAGTAGAAGCTCTAATTCCTGGGCCTGCTGGAACTATTCCATTGCATCC